GCTTCTTGATCTCGGAGTTGGGCGTCTACTGCGTCTTTCATCAGGTTCAGTAACACTCTGTTGAATACGTTTCCTGGTTTATTTATTTATTTATTTTAACACATAAGTATAGGTACAGGGAGGCACCGAATACATATGCGCCACACAAATCTCAATTGATTTGTGTGAGGGCTGTGATACTGCCCGGGTACCCAAACCGAAGCAGGTGGTTTTCTTAGGGGGCCACACCCCGAACCTTCGACCTGAACGTCTGACCCACAAGGCAGTGGGGCATCGTGAGGAGATGCAGTCCCATGGTAACCGGTGACCAACGATTGGTTCATACGCCATTTGTTCCCGCAGGACACTGGAGCCCATGTGCACCATTGGTTTGGGGTCCGGTTAAAGCGCCGGAAATTCGCTTTTCGTCCTCTCATTCTCGTAAACAACACCTGTGCCACGAGAAGGCAGTGAGTAGGACTTCCCTGGCAGAGGCTATGTACGCGTGGCCATATGAGAGTATATCGAGAGGGAGAGCGGACTCTTCCCATTCTCAGCAGTACCAGAGCATTTAGGAGCATTAAAACCTTTAGATACCGGTTCAAATGTTTAGAGATTAAGCATTAAAACACAAGTCTGAAGGTATTGAGTGTGGATGTGCACTTGTTAAATAGTTTCATACTAGAATAAAATGGTCATTCAGTTCCTTCGGATTCTTAATATTGATCTAATATCAATCGATTTATGATCTAATACAAAAACTTAACAATCACCACAACTTTATACTGATAATTAGTTGATTATTGAATTTGTCTATTTTTGAGTTAATTTTGTTTTAAACTTTCTCTTTTAATCTTTCATTATACATAATATACACGTTGATGGATTAGATTTCACACTACAATATCAGGATATTGATAGAAAACAAAAAACAAGGATTTAACAAAGATTTGTATATGCATATAACTATCAAATGATACAATTCGAACACTATATAATCAATCATTATATATCATTTGAAATACTTTACCCAAGATCGGTAGACAGACTGATGAATAATATTGGATAACAACAATGCAACATTAAGTACTGACAATACCAAACTTGAATAATTTTTTTTTTCTGGTTAGCGTTTTTTTTAGCGAGTTAGTTTTCTATGGGATGGGGTCGCTAACCCAATGCCCAACCCTCCTCCTTTATCCGGGCTTGGGACCGGCAGTAGCCCCCGGAAAGGGACTCCGGGCGGAAACCTGGAAAACTACGAAATCCATCGTCCAAAAGATACAGGTGTTTATTAACAGTTGTCTACGCAAAATACTTCGGATCCGTTGGCCGGACACTATTAGCAACAACCTACTGTGGGAGAGAACAAATCACATCCCAGTGGAGGAAGAAATCAGGAAGAATTGCTGGAAGTGGATAGGACACACATTGAGGAAAGCACCGAACTGCGTCACAAGACAAGCCCTCATATGGAACCCTCAAGGTCGAAGGAAGAGAGGAAGACCAAAGAATACATTACGCCCAGAAATGGAGATAGATATGAGAAAAATGAACAAGAATTGGATGGAACTAGAAAAGAAGGCCCAGGACAGAGTGGGTTGGAGAATGCTGGTCGGCGGCCTATGCTCCATTGGGAGTAACAGGCGTAAGTAAGTAAGTAAGTAATACCAAACTTGTGATAAGTTGAGGAAATTAGACAACATCTAAAAGCTGAATGGAATGGGAGAGATCCTGATGGATGGATTTGACTTAATTATCAGACGTAGCAGAAAAACACTATTGTTTAGGAATCCGGTTTAATTATTTGACGGACATACAATATCAATGAGTTTGTGAAGATATTTGGTTCGGTTAGCCATTCACTCTTGATTTCCCTACAAAAGTAACAGGCTAGGCGCGCATTACATAATTCTTTGGAAGAAAGTCTTCATGTCTCCAATAATGGCAAGCTGTTGATAATTTAAGCGCATTATGTTTGATATTATTTTGTAAAAATTATTCGAAAACAAATCCTTGAATCTCGATTATGTGTGCAGTATCACACTCATCAACAAGGTATATTCATTCGAGGTAGTTGATTATTACAGTAACACCTTTGTTACAAGAACGAAATCTGTAAAGTTCAAACCTATTAAGAAAGCTGTTTATTAATTAAAATAAGGACTTTTTTTATAGATATTATAGTAATTTCAATAGTTGAAATCATGTGTCCATTGAAGCTAGACCATCATGGAAAACGGCCCCCAAATGCCCTGGTACCGCTGAGAGTGGGGAGAGGCCGTTCTCCCTCTCGAAATACTCTCACATGACCACGCGTATATAGCCTCTGCCAGGGAAGTCCTACTCACTGCCTTCTCGTGGCACAGGTGTTGTTTACGAAAATGACAGGACGAGAAGCGAATATCCGGCGCTATAACCGGATCCCAAACCAATGGTGCACATGGGATAACTCCAGTATCCTGAAGGAACAAATGGCGTATGAACCAGTCGTTGATCACCGGCTTCCATGGGACTGCATCTCCTTACGATGCTCCACTGCCTTGTGGGTCAGACGTTCAGGTCAAAGGCTCGGGGTGTGGCCCCCTAAGAAAACCACCTGTTTCGGTTTGGGCACCCGAGCAGTGTCACAGCCCTCACACAAATCAATTGAGATTTGTGTGGCGCATATGTATTTGGTGCCTCCCTGTACCTATACTTATGTGTTAAAATAAAATATAATAAAATCATGAAAAACCTGGAAGAACTGGACGGTCGTTTCATCCTATTGTGGAACTCTTCAGCATTACGCATCCACCATCCCGCCTCACAACATTCAAACCCAGGATCTATAGGTCTCGCGCGCGAACGCTTAACCACTAAAACACTTTAAACGTAATGAAGTCTAAAAAGATGCTAAATTACTTCACGTACAGACATAATATTTTTTAAACCGAGCCTTTGTTTGAGTTACCATGTATTCCCTGTAAAATCCAACCGATCACACATCATCAATAAGACATACATCACTATTAATCTAGTTATAGACTCAAACATAATGAAATAAAAAAATCTATGACATCAGCTTACTATTGATTCTTTAACCCAATATGAACAGAATTCAACCAACATTGAAGGTTAATGAATAGTATATAATTTCAGAAAGGGGTTTTGTGGATATTATAGTCATTTCAATGGTTGTAATCATAAGTCAATTGAATCTAGACCACTATGAAAAATTTAGAAGAACTAGTTGAAGTTAGACAATAACACTATTGAATACTGGCTTAATGATTTAGAGGTTAAGCGTTAGCACGTGAGACCTATAGGTTCTGGGGTGTTCGAATCTTACAAGGAGCAGGGATTGTTGATGTTTACTACTGAGAAATCATACAATAGGACAAAACAGCCATTTAATGCTTTCAGATTTTCTATGATGATCTAGCTTCAATTAACTCATGATTTCAACTATTCAAATATACAATTTATCAATAAAACATAAATCATTATTATATACACCATTTTATTATTATAACATTCTAGAATAAAACAAAGAACAGTAGAAATAAACCTTATTCAACATAGAAACTGAAAGATAACAAAATACATAAATAGAAAGAGGGGGAGGGGTGAATTTCATTTCATCAACCAAATACAAAACATAATTCATATTGATTATAGACCAACATATAGTACAGCTTCATAGGTATATATAGTCAACTTAGAGTTATATTGTTTGTATAAGGCATCAAGTTACTTACATAACTGTTCATACTGAACTAGGATACGATGGAGTTGTAACCTTTACCTATTTAGTTGGAAACTATGTCATTATTTTTTTGTTTTTTTTTTACAGTAAATTATCGTTTATGAAGAACAAGAAGAAGAAGAAGAAGAAGAGGAAGAAGTAAGAGAGAGGATACAATAATGACAAACTATCAAGAAATGGGAAAGGATATGAAGAAATTCTGAAGAACAAGAAGGAGAAGAAGAAGAAGGAAGTGAGAGAAAGGATACAATAATGACAAACTATCAAGAAATGGGAAAGGATATGAAGAAATTCTGAAGAACAAGAAGAAGAACAAGAAGAAGAAGAAGGAAGTAAGAGAGAGGATACAATAATGTCAAACTATCAAGAAATGGGAAAGGATATGAAGAAATTGTGGAGAACAAGAAGAAGAAGAAGAAGAAGAAGGAGGTAAGAGAGAGGATACAATAATGACAAACTATCAAGAAATGGGAAAGGATATGAAGAAATTCTGAAGAACAAGAAGAAGAAGAAGAAGAAGGAGGTAAGAGAGAGGATACAATAATGACAAACTATCGAGAAATGGGAAAGGATATGAAGGAATTCTGAAGAACAAGAAGAAGAAGAAGAAGAAGAGGAAGAAGTAAGAGAGAGGATACAATAATGACAAACTATCAAGAAATGGGAAAGGATATGAAGGAATTCTGAAGAACAAGAAGAAGAAGAAGAAGAAGGAAGTAAGAGAGAGGATACAATAATGTCAAACTATCAAGAAATGGGAAAGCATATGAAGAAATTCTGAAGAACAAGAAGAAGAAGAAGAAGGAAGTAAGAGAGAGGATACAATAATGTCAAACTATCAAGAAATGGGAAAGGATATGAAGGAATTCTGAAGAACAAGAAGAAGAACAAGAAGAAGAAGAAGGAAGTAAGAGAGAGGATACAATAATGTCAAACTATCAAGAAATGGGAAAGGATATGAAGAAATTGTGGAGAACAAGAAGAAGAAGAAGAAGAAGAAGGAGGTAAGAGAGAGGATACAATAATGACAAACTATCGAGAAATGGGAAAGGATATGAAGGAATTCTGAAGAACAAGAAGAAGAAGAAGAAGAAGAGGAAGAAGTAAGAGAGAGGATACAATAATGACAAACTATCAAGAGATGAGAAAGGATATGAATAAAATTCTGCAGTATCAGGTTAGATATTTGATTACTGTCAGTTAATTTACAAAATGCATTGTAATAAAAAAGAAAAGATAATATACTATTTTTTTTTCTTTATTACAATCATTATTAATTTACTTTTAATTCTTGCCATTCTATTTCATCATCTGTTCCAATAGAACTTGCTGAAGGGGAGGAAGATGATGAAGAATTGGATGGTGAAGGAACTGGTGAAGGAGGTGGTGATGAAGATGAAGAAGAGGATGTTGAAGAAGGAGAAGATGATGATGATGATGAAGAGGAGGAGGAGGAGGACGATGACGGAGTAGGTAATCGTCGTTTAGACACTTTGGTTTTTTTCTTATTTTTCTTTTTCTTATCAGATTTTTTATGCTTTTTAACTTTTTTCAATTTACTTTTACGCTTTTTAGCATGTTTTTGTTTTGATTTTGATTGAGATAATTTATGTTTAGTTTTCTTTTTTGATTTTTTTAATGCTTCTTGTTCTTTTAATTTATCAACTGTATGTTGATATGGTAGTTTAGGTGTTATATTTGATGTGACTGATTTTATTTTTACATCATCAATACTTTCAGAATGTTTAAATGGTATAGAACCTTCATTTTGTAATTCATCCCAACCATCATGACCCCAACGACCAGTATCACAATGTCGACGAGCAAGTGTTCGCCAAAACTCTTTAGCATTTTGTCCACCAGCAGCACTTGGTAATGTACGAGCAGAAAGTAATTCTATACTACGTTTAGCTTCTGAACGAAGTGTACGCTCATAAGCATCTAATGCTTGTTCTGATTGAGCACAATTTGATTCAGATGATCGATCACGAGATTCATTTGATCTTTTATGACGACGTTTTATTTCTCTCCAACATTGTTCTTCTTCCAAAACCTATAGAAGGTTAATCAAGTGTAAACCAATTAGTGACCATGAAATAACATGTATATACATATTATTAACTTGAGAAATTAAAAACTCACTTTCTCTTTTGATGATCCAAGCTAGATAGCAAGCACAAAGTAATATATATATATATATATATATATATATATATATATATATATATATATATATATATATATATATAGAAGAGTTATATGATTACGTTAAAATCATTCTTAACATTGTGTGTTACTGAGCATTCTGTCTTACTCAAACCTGAATCTATCATTCACAATTTGTTTCCACAGCCCGTTGTTCCATGAACCTGACTTTTAACTATTGTCTAGGAAGTCTAGTTTTGTTTGGCACATTTTATTTATATCTTGAAAAATGAACTTAACTATAGTTTTTCAATTGTTATAAAGCTTAATAGCTTTCAGCTCATACACTTCAACGTCCCCTTCAGTTGAACATTAAGAAATTTTACGGAGGAAAGCTGTATATCTAAGTGCTATACTACTCTATACCACAAAGGTAATTTTTTAACTATTAAGTCAGTTAGTCAGCTACAACGTAGGACCAGGCAAATATATGTATCGGTCCAAGTTGCCATACTTCATTAGCACAACAAGATGAGCACCGAATTCATGGAAGCAGTTACTTCAATGGTAGTAATATATTTTAAAAAAAAAAGAGATTGCATATAAGGGTATGATTTAGGGAGAAAGAACTGGTTTGTACACAGAAAGTTATAAAGTAATTTTAATCTCACAGCTTAGGCGAAGACAAAGAATGTATATACCTACGCCATTGTGATCGATTTTGAGCCGCGTTACCCAGAATCCTCAACCAAGTAGTCTGCATCTACCACAACATGGCTCAGAGCAGAAGTTAGTGACTTTAAAGACTGATGTCATGTTTTGGTTTGATCACCCATAACTAGCTGTTAAACCCTCTCGTGAAGGTAATTTTAAGTTATTCTAGGTAAAACCATTATATTCCAAAGTGAGTTTTGTGCATAAATTGGTCAGTAAACAATTACATTCCTATATACAATGCACGTATTCAAAAATTCACTTCAGCGAAAATCGAGGAATAAGAATTCGCCAACAGTGGGTAATATTTTAAATCACATGGTTTAGAACCGTACGAACACTTTCTTTTACAAATATTGTTTGAATGGAATCATTTCAAACATTAAATGACTTCTAAGCAACTATCAATCCTATGAACAATACGTTTGAACATAATTCGTGGCTAGCAGTGGAATCCAGGAAGTGCGTTTCGTCCTGTTTGAGACTTATCGGCTAGATGTACCTGCACCTCAAAGCTGATGTTCACTCAGGAACTCGAACTCAGTACCGTTCGCTCCAAATGCCACCACGTTATCCTCTTAGCTACTGAGTCCTGATAGCCACTTGCTTGTGTGATGGGGGTGAAGTTTAAATGAATTTAGTATTGTTTGTTTGAATCTTCCCATTAATGTTTAGCACTGAAATTGGTCGGTCTCTTATTGGTACCCAGCTGATGAGTCCCAAATAGGAAGAGATGCGCATCAAACTGGATTCCGCTACTAGCCATCAACCATCTTTGTTTATAGTGCTTGCGAATTAAGGCAATATCAAAGTGATTCGCACAAGATGCACCCTTCTCAAACTACTGAACATTTGAACAGCCAGGTAGTATCAATACCCCTCTTTAAAAACAGTCGAATTAATCCTTTTTACGTGAATACTACATATTAATAGATTCTAGTTGAAATTCGAAACTACAACTACAGAAATGGTTAGTGGTTATTGAGTTGATCAATATGTTTATATCATGTGATCAATAATTTGTGCTTTAAACAATTCAGTCATTCAGCAACAATATAGAACTTCGTACCTACGTAGATCAGTTCAAGTTGCCATACCATATTAGCACAAAGATACAATTGTCGATTCAAAACCCACAGTGGTAGAGGTAGTAAAAGTATAAGAAGTAATTGGAAGGATTAAGGTTTAAAGATGTTATTCATGGAGTATAATCCAATGAAATAAATTTGGAAAGAGAAAAACAAGGGGACATAAAGAATTCAAAAAAAATTAGAATTTGGGAGAACACAAAGCTTTAAACACAAAAGCTAGACTACCACCATGGAAAACCTGAAAGCACTGGACGGGCATTTCGTCCTATTGTGGGACTCCTCAGTAGTGCGCATCCAAGATCCCGCTCGCGAGATTCGAACCCAGGACCTATCAGTCTCGCGCGTTAGCGCTTAACCACTAGACTACTGAATCGGCATCCAACGGTGTTGATGTTTAACTTCAACCAATCCACGAAATTGAGCAACACATCCACCATTGTTATCAGTAAGTTACTATCTCACAACAGATCTACAATAGGACGAAACGGCCGTCCAGTGCTTCTAGGTTTTTCATGGTGGTCTAGCTTCAATTGACTCATGATCTCAACCATTGAAACTATTAAAATCTCCACAAAAACCCTTCTGATATATACAAATGTTAAATTCACCAAAAATCTGTATTAAATTCATGATTATTCGGGCAATACTTACTCGATTATGTGTAGTAGCATGTTTGACATAATTATCAACCAACTTTTTATCCTGGAATTTAAAAAAGGGGGGGTAATTATTGAAAAAAAAACATGTTTTTTGTGTTTAAACAAATAAAAGAAATGTAACTCGAATATTAAGTTCTTTCAATATACAATACTATTTTGGACAGTTGGTAGTGAATGAATGTGTTATAACTTATGCCCCGTATCCTATTAATGTATGATATAATGATACCGCCAATTACAGAACAGTCAATTATCGACCGAACCAATGACGCATAAAACAAGTAAGGGCAGTCTAGAGTTCTTAGCGATCCTGATTCCAGCTTAACTCTGCCTGTCGTAGTCCAAAACACCAATCCCAGCCTCTGCAATATGAATCATGTATTTCAAACATACTGGGTTTACATACACCAGCCAAATAGACCACATCGTACCATAAAATAGAAAATAACATTTGTACAAGATCTAGCCAAATGTGACTGTGAATGTGGGAGATAGTAATTGATAGATCAGACATAACTCAAGAATGGTGAATTGTACCATAATAGTTCCTAAGTCAAAATGAAGCTTATAATAAGAGGAACAGGAATATGAATAGTTCCGTTACGTAACAATAACACAATAAAAATTATACGTATAGTATTAGACCAGAAATATATTCCAACAGTTACCATTCATTATTCTTATCGGGATATAACAGAACGATTAGTGAATGTTGATAACCTGAAGTTATTCAGAAAGTTTTTAATGTTCAAATGTATCTGTATGTGTGTGTGTGTGTCCTATCTAGAGCTTTCAATCATTTTCATGTTCATTTGGGAGATGAGTGTTGTATAATAAAGTCTAATTTCCAATGAAGATGTTAATTTCATTACGTTTATTTATCATTTGATAGATCGAGTAACATTACATTGGATATGTTCATAACAGATCTGTGCACAGATAACTTGAAATGAAATATTTCATGAAGACTACACTTAAATATATGTCAATCATTCATTAATCAAAAGATTACCGAAAGTGCTGAGTATGATACATCTATTGAGTATTGAAAATGTTAAGGATAAGTTCAGCAATATTAATGTAACTTGAAAGAGAATAAACCAGGTTCTAACTGAAGAGGAAATTAAGAAAATACTATGGAAATGGATATAACATACATTACAGAAATCAGCAAACTGCATCACGAGTCAAGCCCTAACTTAGAATTTTGAAGGGAAGAGGAAAAGAGGAAAGCCAAAGGACACATTACGTCGGGAAATAGAACTAGGTATGAAAAGGATAAATAAGAACTGGAAAGAGCTGGAAAGGATTGCCCAATACAGAGTTATATGAAGAGTGTTGGTGGGCAGCCTATGCTCCTCGACGAGGTGTAACAGGCGTAAGTAAGTAAGTAAGTAAGTAAGTAGGTTGTGAGTATGTTTAGGTGAAGGATAGTCATACTGTATAAACTGAAGTAGATAAAGCAAGAATTCAGATCACAACAAAGGATTGTTGGACGTTAAATGATATAATCATCAATTAAACCACGAATACACTGTCAACAATCTTGAAAGAACTAATTCTTGCAGTTGGACACAAGTTCATGTTACTTATTGTTAGTTAGAAAATATTTTGGTCAATAATGAATTCAGTTTGATAGAAAGTTTTCAGATTATTAGACGTTATTAGATAAGACCAATAGACTAATATACCCAAATGATACCACTATATTATCACAGTCAGCTAGGCAAGCTTTGAATTGTTAAATAGATCAGTGTTAGACAGATTTTCTTGATCAACGTAAGATTAGGCATATATATGCATCATTCAAAGTTGCCATACTTCATTAGCATAATAAGATGAATACTTAAATTTATAGAACCAGTTACTTTAATGGTAGTAGTATATTTAAAAACAAGAGATGGCATATAAGGATATGATATAGGGAGAAAGAATTAGTTCGTACAAAGAAAGATATAAAGTAATTATAATCTTATGGTATAACGGAAGACAAAGAGTGTATACACCTACGCCATTACTATATTAAGCTATTAACTATGCTAAAATGAAGAATGCATAATGACAGGAAGTTGATTAAAAAAAACACGTCATTTAATCTACAAATTGTACTTTATCAGAAGGGGTTTTATGGAGATTTTAAAAATTGCAATAGTTGAGATCATGAGTCAATAGTGAAGCTAGAACACCATGGAAAACCTGGAAGCACTGTTGTAAGATATCGGCTCACTGAAGACAATGATGTACGGTGGCACAATTTCGTGGAATGGTTGAAGCTAGACATTAACACCGTTAGATGCCGGTCGGCTCAGTGTTCTAAAGATTAAGCGTTCGCGCGTAGGACTGATAGGTCCTGGGTTCGAATCTCGCGAGAGGCCGGATTGTGAATGCGCCCTGCTGAATTGTCTCACAACAGGACAAAACGGCCGTTCAGTGTTTCCAGATTTTTCATGATGGTCTAGCTTCAATTGACACGTGATCCCAACTATTGACATTGTACTTTATTAACAAGGTCGATAATAATCTATGAACTCGGTATGATTCTTTTTAAGATTTAAGTATAGATTTTGTTCACGAACATTATCTCATCAACTGTGATATTCATTCAATAACTACTTTCTAAATGTGCTATTTCGTTTGTCCATAAAGAGTTAAATGATCTAAACTCTTGTTCTCATTGTGAGTAGTATACTTACTGAAGCGTTAGGCCAAAGACATTCAACCATTTATAAATAAAAGAAACAATAAAATGGATAAAATCTACGCATGAGAATACAACAAAAGATGTCATTAATCAAGAGACATTATTTTAAAAGAAAAACATTGAACATTATCATTAAAATTGAGTGAGGTTAGTAAAGTTAGACGCAGGGTATTAGGGAATGATGGTAAATCAGTTGATGAGGTTGTGAATCTTCATCGACTGAGATGGTTGGGCCACGTGTTGAGTGTGTCTGAACACCGATTACCACGACGTGCAATGCTAACTGGTGTTGGGGATGGTTGGAAGAAAGTTAGGGGCGGCCAAACTAAAACATGGCATCAGTGATTGAAGTCACTAACTTCTAGTCTGAGCCATGTTGGTAGATGCAGACTACTTGGTTGGGGTCCACGTGAATATCGTAACCAATGGTTGGAGACTCTTGGTGACAGCTCAGAATCGATCACAGTGGCCTTTGTGTATACACTCTTTGTCTTCCCTTAAACTATGAGACTAAAATTATTTCATATCTTTCTTTCTACTAACTAACTTTCTTCCTGTACTATCTCCTTATATGCAAACTTTCTTTTATATATTACTACCATTGACTTAACCACTCCTATGAATCCAGTGTTCATCTTGTGGTGCTAATGAAGTATGGCAACTTGGACCGATGCATATATGTGTCTGGTCCTACGTTGCAGCTGACTGACTGACTGAAAATCGAGTCTATATATTTTACATTTATAAGGTGATCGATAGATTTGACGAGCCTATTCACTAAAAGTTGTCTATAAAATGAGCTACAGTCGAAGAAGTATTCAGTTAGTTGTGAGCAACGTACAACCTGTTATATTTGTGTATTGGTTCAAAGTTTCACATTATATCAACGCAAACAGTTCGAATTATCAGGACAAATCCCAGAGTAGTAGGAATGGTAACAGTATCAAAGATGATAGGAATATGATTTGAAAAGAATGAATGAATTCTTATTATAAAAGTTGTAATTTTAAAGTTCAAGACCGAATAGAAGACAAAGAATCAATATACCTGTGACACCGTGATTGATTATTACCCATATATAATACTTCCTTGTTATTTGGTTTGATGTAAATTAGACACTGACACCACTGGATGTCGGGCTCAACGGTTCAAAGAGTAAGCATCCGAGCGAGAGACTAAAGGCTTTTGAATCGATTCCCAGATGTAGAGCTGTGGATGAGCATTACTAATGAGTCCCATACTATGAAAAAATAGCTTTCTAGTACTTCTAAGTGTTAATGGTAGTCTAATTGGAATGAATTCGTGATATAACGTTTGATACTATTCAGATGAAATTCTACACTGAGTTAAAATTATTGCTAGTCAGATTTATAAATGAAATACTGGTTATCATAGCTTTGGAAAAATTTAAAAATAGTTTGCATTAACTTCAAATATCAATGTTATTATGTGATATATAAAATCAGACAGTCTTTCAATGACTTTAGCCATAAAGTTCATTTTTAATTACATTACATACCTTAAAAATGCATAACAAGTTACGAGATGATTGTGTACACACATAGCTTCGGTTCTGTCTTTCGATTGAAATAAGATTTAATTGAATTTTTGTGGAGATTGGCTCAAATTGTAAGTTCTATTTGCCACAGATTGATCTCAGATGGGGTACCATTAAAAACGAAAGAGCAATCAACAGTTGTTTCACCTTATTGTGAGGCTCCTCAGCGATGCTCTGAAAAACCTAAAGGTCCGGGGACCAGTCCCTGGCAGGATCAAAAGTGCCTACTACTGAAGAATAGCATAATAGGACAAGACACCACCTCAGGGCTCCCTGGCTTTCAATGGGAAGTTGAAATTCATAATTCGTGACCAGTGGATCTAATTCGTATCAAATAGAGATAGGTATGTACTTCAGTACAACAGGGGATAGTCGCACAATTTCGTGGATTGGTTGAAGTTAGACATTAACAATGTTGGATGCCGGCTCAGTGGTCTAGAGATTAAACGTTCGCGCGCGAGACTGAAGGCCCTGAGTCCCAATCTCTCGAGTGTGATCGTGAATGTGCACTACTAAGGAGCTTCATACTAGGACGAAACTACCAATCGTACAACAACTAATAATCCTATTAAGTCATTATTTGAGTAATGTAAGTCAGCTATAATTAACGCAGAGACTGAAACAAATCTACATTAGCCCAAAGAACTAAACCATATTAACATAAAAACATTAAAATCTTATAATAGAAACGAAAACAAGCCTAAAAACTCACTATATGGTTTAATTTAAAAAAAGTAGAACAAAAAGGTATACGAGAAAGAATACTATAACTCATGACTTAGAT